GTTCTAAATTGCTCTTATACTTATCCATCCTTATCTTGGAAATTCTCCTGTTACAATTGCATTAAGTGAACACGTTTTCTGTTTCCCTCAGTTGCTCAGTTAATTCTATATTGGTCAGTGTATCTCAGCAGCTTTGGTCTCACTATCTAGTGATGAGAAGTAAGTCAGTTACCAAGTCATCTGATCAGGTGTGAGCAACCCCGGAACTGTCATGAACTCATCTGCTCTTCCCTCTGAGTTGCATTATGGCTCACCCTTGCTACTCTGTAGTCCTTTTTATAGGTCATAAACAAACAAACAAACAAAACAGAATAAATAGATTAAAAGAAATACAAATCTCCCTTAAAAAATAATTTATGTAGGTATTTGTTGCTGTTGTAGTAATAAAAACACCATGGCCATGTATAGAAAGAAATGTTCATTTGGCTTATGACTCCAGATTCTTCCTGGCAGGAAATTGTGGCTGCAAAAGGCATGGCGGCAGGAACAGTTGAGAGCTCATTTCTTGAACCTTAAGCAGGAAGTTCAGACAGCAAACTGGGAATGGCGTGTGACTTTGAGATCTCAAAGCCTATCCCCGTGATAAGCTTCCTCCAGCAAGGCTACAGCTACTAAGCCTACCAGATAGTTCCATCAATTAAGGACAAAGTGTTCAAATATCTGAGTCCATGGGGGACACTCTCACTAAAAGTACCACCATATTCTATACTCAGAGACAGGCAATATAACTGTCAACCAATAGATGTGGACAGTACATGGTAACTTTCCTTTAAAGAATAGGATTTGGAAACAGGGACCAAAAGAGGAACTCTCCAGTCAGGAAACCTGGCAGACAGTCTCTGTCAGACAGTCAAGGTCAACATCAATAGTTGACAAGTTATGTGAAGAGTGTGGCCCCTTGATATGAGTGCATGTAAACTGTACTATATTCCTATATTCTTCCTCTTACAAGACATAATCCTTTTTGATTTTTGAGGAAAAAAATCTAAAACATACTAGAACATTCTGTAAAATATATGACCATTATTTCTCAAAACTGTTGAGGTCATCAAAAACAAGTCTGAGAAAGTGTCAAAGCTGATACAGGTAAATGTTATGTGACATCCTGTATTTGATTCTGAAACGGAAAGAGTACATTATGTAAAAGCCAAGAAAATCTGAGTATAGTATGGGCTTTAGTTAATAATGCATCAACATTAATTTATTAACTAAAACAAATATACCACTGTGTAAGATGGAGAAAGAGGAGGTAGGGAGAATCTGGGAGGAGTTGGGGGTAGGAGAAAAACGTGATCAGAGTAAATTGTCTGAATTTTTTCAAAGATATAATGCTTTGTGGAAATTATCTATACTGTTATCAAAACCCTACTGAACCATGATTATTAAAAAAAAAATGAGAGCTGGAGAGCTGACTCAGTGTTTAGGAGCACTTGCTGATCTTGTGGAGGACCAGGACTTGGTTCGAAGTATGTACATAGGGTGGCTTCATTTCCATGGGATCTGTCACCCTCTTGTGGCCTCTGAACATCTGCACACACACACAGTGCACGTACATATACTCAGGCCAACATGCATGCATATAGAATGAAAATCAATCAAAATATTTTTTTAAAAAAGCATAAGAAAATATTTATGAATTTCTGCTCATGCAAATATTGTGCTGAATATTTTATCGTGTTAAATATTAATGATGACAAAATAATGAATGTGATTTTTAGGTGAACGTTGAGATGTAAGTTAAGCAATCTTAATCTATTTATTTTGGACGCTTTGATGTATTTTATTTTAAATACCTAATAAAGGCAGAGGAGGCCTGGGTACATGAATTACATCATTCTAGGTTCAGGCACAAGTGGATAGAACAACCCAAAACTTCCAGGGCCACAGACTTGATCACCAATTTCTATGCAAGACTCTAAAGCCCCTCTAATTTTACTTTTCCTAGATTCTCACTCAGCTACCTCTCTCTAGGCCTTCATTTTCCGCTTCCATTAGATATATTTTTAAATTTGTTTTCTTTTATTGAAAATAGATTTCTTCCTCATACAATATATCCTGATTATAGTTTCCCCTCCCTCTACGCCTTCCAGTTCCTTACTACTTTTACTTCCCTCCAAATCCACTCCCTTTCTGTCTCTCATTAAAGAACAGGTCTCTAAGAGATAACAACCAAATATGACAAATAATATATAATAAGATAAAGCAAAAACAGTTATATCTTAATTGCAGTTAAGTGGATTTCTAAAGGCAAGATCTAGGTCTTTGAGGAAGAAGTATTCTAATTTAAAACAGCTAACTCCATAGCCCATATTTTGGCATACTTACGTAACATATTAACAGGCTTTGTTCACAGAAGGATGTTTGTTGGGCATGTTTCCAAAGCTGGCAGTTATCAAGCAAACAGGCTGCAAAGGAATCAAGAGGAAATTCATGCTTGCCAACAGATAAATTCGTTTCTAAAGCAGACTAGATATTAAGGTTTGAAATAAAGGCAGAAGAAATTCTCTTGAATTATGTTAGTAAACAGTTAACAGATGCTTCCCTCCAAATCTTCACTCTTGAAATTTCTTCCAGACAGGATGACTGTGGTCAGGTGCACACAATCCACTGGGCAGTAACACATCTACTACCTGATATATAAACCTTGTTAAGAGCCAGGCTAGTTCAATAAGTTACAAAGAGGGTAGGAGATTGAATAAAGTGCCTGAGATGATCGCCTGTTCACTGTCTCCACTCTACTTTCTCTTTAGAGCTGACCATTTCTTTGACTGTAACCCATAATTCTCATAGACAACTCAACTCAAGGTAGGGGCTGTTTCTAAAATGTGGGGATTGGACAGCAGGAAACAATAGAATTATTTTCAGTGCTTTGGTCTGCCATTCAGTATGCATTCAGTGTTCAGTGGCAACAAGGACAGGAACAGCATAGGTCACTTTTCAAGTCATTTTCTAATACATCAATAACCATTACTTCCCATTTTTTCTCTAAATAATGTACTCATACTGTACTGAATCCTCACACTCAGGAGGCACGTTGTAGGCCCTGTACGTCTGCGTTCAGCAGCTGAGTGATTAGTGTATCAATTGTTTGCGTTTCTCAGCTTTTAATGTCAGTTATATTATCAGAATAACAATATAAGTCATACATAATTGATGAAGGTGCATAATCAATAAAATGAATGCAAAGAAAATTGTTTTTATAAGGTAAACATCTTTGCGAAGTGCTATTTTAAGGGGGTGGGGGGTCACCAGATAAAACTGCTGTCAAAATACATATCAGAACCAGGCACAATGGTATACCCTAGAATCCCAGCACTTGGGAGGCCCAGGAAGGAGGGCTACAAATCTAAGATCAGACTGGGCTACACATCAAGACATTATCTCATGAAACAAAAATAAGCCAACCAAATAAATATAATACATGTGTGATGGTTTCAATGAGAACAGCCCCCATAGGCTCATATATGAATGCTTGATCCCTAGTTGGTAAAACTGTTGGGGACGGACTAGGAGGTGTAGCTCTACTGGAGGAGGTGTGTCACGGAAGGTTAGGCTTTGAGGTTTCAAAAACCCATGCTGTTTCCAGTTAGCTTTCTGGCTTTTCCACGTGGCTGTTTCATAATGTGAGCTCTCAGCGACTGCTCCAGAGCAATGCCTGCCTGCCTGTTGCCATGTTCTCCACTGTGGTAGCCATGGACTCGCCCTCTGAAACTGTGAGCCTCCAATAAACGCTTTCTTCTATACGATGTCTTGATTATGGTATCTCATGACAGCAATAGAAAAGGAACTAAGACAACATGTCAAAGCAAGGAAAAGAGAATAAAGAGTAAAAACAATAGAAACGATGTCAGATTTTCTCATACATGTCTAAATGTATTTTTTCTAATTCTTCTATTGCACTGAATTTCTAAATTTTTCTGGTGCGGGGAGAACCACATTTATTAGTTAAGACAACACAGGCTGGACACACACACATGCTAAAAAGTGGACTGTTTTTTAAAACTTCAAAGGTAATTTTTTTCCAAGCCCCACAATCATTTCCATAATATTTACAAAATAAAAGGCCCACATTAAGACACTGAACAGTAAAGTACGTAATAGATGAATTTCTAAAGTACAAAAGTGTATAATGGCAGTCAGAGGCAGCAGAAGGCCAAATCTCACAAACGTGTGTCAGAATGAGAGCCATAGCTTATGTTCTGAGATCAGCAGTTGACGGACAGCGTGAATTCATAATCTCTATCATGTTGATTTCTAGAAGTATGGGTTTTCTGTGTAACTCTATTCTCCACGTTGCTTTCTCTTGGTGCCCATTGAGAAGAACCAGTGACTGTTGTTGTTGATGATGATGCTCAGGAGACATAATGTTGGAGAACTGTGTTCTGTTGCTTTGTGGGGACCTGTGACCCGGGGCATGTCTTTTCCCCTTCCTGTGTCACTCCATCCTAGCCATTGTCCTTTACGAGCCACCAAATTTAAGATTTAAAATGCCCTTTTACAATGGCCAAAGAAGTGTGTGTCTTTATTTCTTTCTCTGTTTGCTTACTTGAGATATTCTGGAGAGAAAAGATGAGAAAACCGTGTTTATTCTCTTATTAAAAAATAAGACTGTTGCTTTGTTTCAGCCAAGTTAGGCAGTAAAGATTATGCATTACAAGTACATCTGATACAAAAAGACAATATAAAAAAGACAAGTTACACCTTCAGATGGTGAAATTATTGTTTTGCAAACATAGCAATAAGTTAAATATTTTACTACTATGTACTGAATTTGGAAAAACTTAAGATGGTGTTATTTATGAAATGGTGAATAACATCAGTTCACAAGATTTGAATGACAGAATTTTGTTGTATTCACTTGCTTAAAGACAGTTCTTCAGACATTAAAGTTACCTTAAATTGATATGGTACTTATTTGACTTTAGGTTATATTATAGGGACCTTTTTAATTATTTAACTGTTACATTGATAAGTTTATTGTTTCTGTTTTTATTTCAAAGGTCTCTGAAGAAATTATAATGGATTACTATGAAAAATATAAACCTAGAATGAACGAGCTGGAGGCATTTAATATGGTAAGTCATGTACACACACACACACACACACACACACACACACACACACACACACACACACGTATGTATTATACTGGATATATTGCTAGACTAGAATAGTACCCTATTAAATATTATGGGCCAGTCAATCTGTGTTGTTGCTGTTGTTTGTGTATGTGAGAAAGACACACACACACACACACACACACACACACACACACACACACACAGAGCATGCGAGCGAGCAAACTATTTGGGATGATTTCCTATTTCAGAACTATATTAGGTGTTAAGAGTGTCATAAAAAGAGCACATGGTAGATTTCTCTTAAAGTGCATCATAAATGCACAGAGCAATGCTTCAGAGTCCTTTGAACACATGTTGATATCCAGAGCAGTTAGTTCACAAGCTCTCCTTTTAATGAATCGCATTCTCGGGACTCCTTTAAAAGCTTTCCATCAGATGATTGCTTCCTGGATTCCACCTCATGTCTCTTAGAGGGCATTCTTTTCCTATTACGAGTAAAGAAAAGCTTTTGATCTGGAAAATTCATTTTTGGAAGATGTACAATAGGTATCGGGTATCTGACATATGCGTTGTTTTATAGATATACTTTCTCAAACATAAATGTTGAGGCAAATAAACTATTAAAGTACACCACCTTTGTTTGTTTCCTTGCAGTTGAAAGTCGTCCTGGCTCCTTGCATAGAAACCCTGATTCTTCTTGATCGACTGTGTTACCTGAAGGAACAGGTAAATTATGTTGTTTTTCAGTGCATAGCAAATATCATTATTAGGTGAAATAAAATAAGTAAAGTTACAGAGCTGGGATAAAGTTATTTCACACAAATTAGTAAGATAATAATTCTCATACTCTTATTTTTAATATTCATTTTATTTCTTGCTCAATATATAAACATATGTACAGCAGATGTCTTCAAAAAATTTCTGTAATAAACTTGATGTTTTATCAACTTGTGTGATAAGTAATATTCATAGACAGTGAATAGACATAACCATGTATGATTTTAGAGTCAAAATTAATTATGGCCAGTCATCGAAGATCCTCTGCACACATTTCACTTTGTTAGAGCTGATCTTTTAATGTGCTTTGGATGTTCATGTCCTGTGATGTAGAAATGTCTTTCTAATCAGTGAGGGGTAGTTCTTCTCTCCCACAACCTTACTGTTTCGTCTGTGATGTGTGGTCTGCTGAGCTCCGGTCAATAAATTGTTTTGAACTGTTTCGTCCCCTTCACAGAGTCAACTTGTTGTCCACTATAAATCCTTTATTTTTAACAACTTTATTTGGTCATCTAGTGCCTTTTCTTTTCTAAAGGCTTCTTTAAACAAATGAATTTTAATAAATTTCTTTATTTTAATTAGTAGTTTTAAAGATTAGGGCAATTCTTAAGGATTTAAATAATATACTTTTCTTAGCCACGATTTAATTACAAATCCCTTCAAAGCCTTGATCCTCAAGTTGGAAGGTGATACACCAACTAACTATTTGAATAAATACTCATTTCCCTTCACAAAAAAATTCAATTGACCTAGATAAACAATTAAATAAAATAGCATGCAAGAAAATGAATAGGTGCAAATGAAATACAAGCATATGATTATTCATTTTGAACATTGAAACATCTTATGAAAGTAATCATATTTGTTAAAAATCTAAGATATATAATGTAAAAAAGAAAAGTAAGAGGAGTATAATCCCACCTTTCAGACGTCACTATTAAATACTAAATACATTTTATTTTATTTTTTTTTTTTTTTTTTGGTTTTTCGAGACAGGGTTTCTCTGTGTAGCTTTGCGCCTTTCCTGGAACTCACTTGGTAGCCCAGGCTGGCCTCGAACTCACAGAGATCCACCTGGCTCTGCCTCCCGAGTGCTGGGATTAAAGGCGTGCGCCACCACCGCCCGGCTAAATACATTTTATAATGATGTCACACATGATTGTAGATTGTGCGTGTACATGTGTACATATTGCTTTTACTTTAAAACTATAATAAAATTTATTTAGTATGTAATTTTTATTTATATATCATTTTCTCCTTCTCTGTACAAGATGAATAATGTTTCATCATAAAATTGCTTGTTTAAATACAGTGTTAATTGGCTTTGTTCAGCTTTTCTGTATTGAAACAAAGAATACTTTGGCAGTCAATCTCTACAGATGTAAGTTATGTTTCCACATACCTTCTTGAAACCAGAATTGTAATGTTTCATTCAATAGAAAATTATAGCCTTTGGTTTCTACTCACATTTTCTATTACAATTTGTAGTCCAGTTGGTGTATGTAGTCTGACTCATCGTTCATTTGCTCAAAAGTGGGAGTACATGTAAATTCTTCTCCACTTTCAGGAAGATGTAGCGTGGTCGGCTCTTGTGAAGTTGTTTGACCCTGTCCAGTCTCCCAGGTGCTATGCTCTCATTGCCCTGAAGAAGCAGCGGTGACCGCAGTGGAGGCAGGTGGCTAGTCAGCTTGTTTGGGGACTTACCTCGAAGATTACTTTTCTAAAACATTTATCTTTTAAATAATTGCTATATTTTAAGTAATAAAATAATGGCTAACAATGTAAGATCATAATCAGTTTTTCCATTCTCAAAGCATACGTTAATAAAACAAGAACTTATGAAAATATTATGGCCAACCTTCCTTAGTGTGTCAATAGCAGATTGTAATCTGACTTTAATTCTTGTTCAATATTTGGGACCCTTAGCATTTACCACACATCACATTTTGGCCTCTTTTTGCTTAAAAGGAAATGGTAAGTCTAAATGTCGATGTTGCTAAATGCTTGTTACTCTGTATTTTTCAGAACATTTTGGAATAGTTTCCACATTGCCATAATGGGGAGATATACATTAAAAAAAAAAACTCACAAGCAGGTCAGTTATAAAATATGCCTAATATAGAGCATATTTTACGCTGTTTTAACATAAAGTACACTTGATGATATTCTATTTCCTTAAGGAAATGTGCATCTTATGAGTAAGTATTCACTTCACGGATTCTTGAGGCTATTTATCCTACTAAAAAGAAGTGATGGGGTGGTGCTTAGGAGAATTAAATTGTGCTCTATAAAAAGCCACCCTGAGTGAAGCCAGACATGGGAGACGCCTCCCTGCCAAGTGTAGAACAAGTCCCTTTCTTTAGCAAAACACAGAGTTTCTCGTGCACACTAAAGAGCTGGAGAGCTGGGATGAGGCTTTCTCGATGCTCAGCTGGAGAGCCCTCTTAGAGTCCCTAGAGAAGATAAATAACTGTTTTGGTAAATGGTTGAGCTTTTCCCCAGATGAGAAGGATTTTATTTCTTCGGGGTTTCGTGTGGAGTTTCCAGCTGATACAGATGATCAGGAACTGTACACAGCTAGTACTTTCCTAGTGAGCTACTTTAAACTACCTTTTGATAAGAATTCAAATGTCTGGCCCTTTACAATAGCCACAAATAATACAAAATACCTTGGGTTAACTCTAACTAAGCAAGTGAAAGACCTGTATGATAAGAACTTTAAGTCTCTGAAGAAAGAAATCGAAGAAGATATCAGAAAATGGAAAGATTTCCCATGCTCATGGATAGGTAGAATTAACATAGTAAAAATGGCAATCTTCTGGGGCTACAGAGTGAGTTCCAGGAAAGGCGCAAAGCTACACAGAGAAACCCTGTCTCAAAAAAACAAAAAAAAAAAAAAATGGCAATCTTACCAAAAGCAATCTACAGATTCAATGCAATCCCCATCAAAATCCTGACACAATTCTATACAGACTTGGAAAGAACAATACTTAACTTTATATGGAAAAACAAAAAACCTAAGATAGCTGAAAGAATCCTGTATAATAAAGCAACTTCTGGAGGCATCATGATCCCTGACCTCAAGCTCTACTATAGAGCTATAGTAATAAAAACAGCTTGGTACTGGCATAAAAACCAACACGTGGACCAATGGAATCGAATTGAAGACCCTGACATTAATCCACACACCTATGAACATAAGATTTTTGACAAAGAAGCCAAAACTGTACCATGGAAAAAAGAAAGCATCTTCAACAAATGGTACTGGCATAACTGGATGTTAACATGCAGAGGATGGCAAATAGATCCATATCTGTTGCCATGCACAAAACTCAAGTCCATCCCCTGAACTTGATAGAAGAGAAAGTAGAAAGTAGTCTGGAACGAATTGGCACAAGAGACCACTTCCTAAATATAACACCAGTAGCACAGACACTGAGAACGACAATTAATCAATGGGACCACCTGAAACTGAGAAGCTTTTGTAGAGCAAAGGACACGGTCAACAAGACAAAGCAACAGGCTACAGAATGGGAAAAGATCTTGCACCAACCCCACATCTGACAGAGGGCTGATCTCCAAAATATATAAAGAACTCAAAAAGCTAGACTTCAAAATAATCAACAGTCCAATTAAAAAATGGGCTACAGAGCTTAACAGAGAATTCTCAACAGAAGAATCTCAAATGGCTGAAAGACATTTAAGGAATTGCTCAACATCCTTAGTCATCAGGGAAATGAAAATCAAAACAACTCTGAGATACCATTTTACACCTGTCAGAAGGGCTAAGATCAAAAACACTAATGACAGCTTATGTTGGAGAGGATGTGGAGCAAAGGGAACACTCCTCCACTGTTGGTGGGAATACAAACTTGTACAGCCACTCTGGAAATCAGTATGGCGGTTTCTCAGAAAATTGGGAATAAGTCTTCCTCAAGACCCAGCTATTCCACTCTTGGGCATATACCCAAGGAATGCTCAATCTTACCACAAGGACACATGCTCATCTATGTTGATAGCAGCATTATTCATAATAGCCAGAACCTGGAAACAACCTAGATGCCCCTCAACTGAAGAATGGATAAAGAAAATGTGGCACATATACACAGTGGAGTACTACTCAGCAGTAAAAAAACAATGATATCATGAAATTTGAAGGCAAATGAATGGAACTAGAAAATATCATCTTGAGTGAGGTAACCCAGACTCAAAAGGACAAACACAGTATGTACTCACTCATAAGTGGATACTAGATGTGAGGGAAGGGATGGCCAGACTGCAACCCACAGCTCCAGAGAGGCTAGATAACAGAGAAAGACCCTAGGAGGGACACATGGAGGACCCTGTGAAGGAGAAGTGGATGAGATCTACACGAGTGAATTGGGTGTTGGGGAGTTGCAGAGGGCGAGGAGTAGGGGATGAGAACATAGGGAAATGGGAGGGTCAAACTGGAACAGGGACAGAGTGGGAGGGTAGGGAGGAAGATACCATGATAGATGAGGCCATCATGGGAATAGGAAGAGGCAGGGTGCTGGGGAGGCTCTCAGGAATCCACAAGGATGACCCGACTTTGGTCTGCTGGCAGTGGTCCAGAGGGTGCCTGGACTGGTCTACTCTGGTGACCAGCCTAGCAAATAACCTAGCTGTCATCATAGAGCCTTTGTCCAGTGACAGATGGAGGTAGATGCAGAGATTCATGGCCAGGTGCCAGGCTGCAGTGCATGCCCCTACCCTCAGCATCATCTCACTGGCCTTGTTCATTTTTTTTTTTTTTTGCTTTCTTAATAGTGGTTAGTGCCATGTGATGACTAGTACATCACACCTGCTGTGGCTGTCTCCATGTTGGTGCTCATAGGATTGATGAGCTCCTTATAGCTGTGAGCCTAATGAGGTAGTACGAACTTTCTCCTTCAGCCTTCCTCTTGGTGGGGTGGTTGTATCATATGGTCATCCCTGAAAACATACATACAAGTGACATGGAGGCCGAATAGGTTATATTTAGGAATATATGTATATACATATATGCATGCAATAACAATTAACAACAACAAAAGAAGAAGCCATGATTTTGATGGAGAGTGGAGGGGTATATCAGAGAGTTTGGAGAAAAGAAAGGGAAGAGAGAAATGCTTTAATTATATTCTCAAAAATAAAAATAACTAATAAAGAAAGATGGAAATGTGCATACAGTGAATTTATTCAAATTGATTGGCTGAGAATACTCCTGGTTTTAATTAAAGAGCTTATTTCATTAGTTGTGCTAAAGTGCGTTTTTGTTTCAACACACTGTCCTTTTATTTCCTCATAGTGTTTGCAATACGTAGCTATATCAGAAGGAACAGAAAATCTAGTTAGCCTGTTTTCTTTCCTTTTGTAATTTTACTTCTATAAAAATTTGACAGCCTTCTTTGGCAACTGAATATTCATTTAACATTCATTTCTCCTTATGACACAAAGACCTCATGTGAAAAACACTGTTTGCATAAAAAAATAAAGTGCATCTATTTCCTTAGCATTTAAAGTTTACAGTAACTCACCTACATTTTAAGATATTAGCAGAACTTGTATCTGTCAGTTTGGACATCCAGTAACATGAGAGAATATACATGATCCTATCGTGTTGAGAGAACATTCGTGATATTGCAGCTTTACATACACAAATCCACACTACAGTGGTTGTAGATGCCCACCTCATAAAAGCTGTCCTTTCAGAGTTAGTTTACAGTTCATTGAAGAGCATAGTGCATTGCTATGAGCACCCTTCTCATAATCACCTTCTGGGGATCTAAAACAAAAGCCTTAACATCTCCAGGCTCATCTGTAAAATGTAGCCTCATTTCATACTATGGTGATATTTTATTTGTATTAAAATATTATTTGTATGTTAATAAATAAAGTTGCCCGGGGGTCAGAGCTATTAGCAAGCCATAGGAAAGCAGGGCAGTGGTAGCGTACGCTTGTAATTCCAGCACTTGGTAGGCAGAGCTGGGTAAGTCTCTGTGTGTTCAGGGATACAGCCATTATTGGATACACATGCTTTTAATCTTAATACCAATCATGGAAAACCTGGAGGCCTATACAGACAGGCTGTGAGGAGGCGGTCATGTGGTTGGGTTTACAACCAATGAGAAGGCAGGACAGGAACTCTATATAAAGACTTTAACACAGGGGTAGCTCTGGTTCGGAGAGGTAAGACCACCGCAGGAGGAAGGGTAAGGTTTTAGCTCTTAGCTCTGACCTCTTGGCTTTCTTCTTTGCATTGGTTCTGTGTTTATTATTTAATAAGAAGGTTGGATACATCTACATTTGGCGCCCAGCGTGACAAGAATTCATTAAAAACCGCTTGGCTTGGCTTGGCGGCAGGTCCGGTTTCCAGCCTGGGCGGCCCGGCTGCCTAGCTTGGGCCCAGGCCTGACTGACCCGCAGCTGGAGCTACTTGCAACTGCTACAAACAACTCAGACCTGCCCTGCTGAACAGGGCCCCTGCCTGTAAAGCCAAGGCTTGACTCGGCTCAAGCGGCTACACTTTCTCTCTCTCTCTCTCTCTCTCTCTCTCTCTCTCTCTCTCTCTCTCTCTCTCTCTCTCTCTCGCTGGATTCACACCTCGAACACCAGGTGGCTGTGAAATTCCCTGGGATTCTACTGTTCTACCCAGACTTGGTAAGTCAATTAACATATCTATTTAAAAGAGAATTTTTTTCTACATTAAAAAAAAATGGGCTTTATGTGTACATTGGAAGAAAATTGGGCTTTGTTTGAAATTTTAGGCACTCTGACAATGGAACAACTATATGAAAAGATTAATATTGATCGAATTATTCAGTTTATTACTTTTCTTATCCTCATTTTACTATTTAAAAAGATCGTCAACTTAAGTGCCAGGATAACAGTCTTAGAAAAACTTGTTAAACCGGTAAAAATGAATTATAGAGAAATTCAAATTCAGACAGAAGAAATAGTGAAGTTGTTTCAAAATTGGATCGTAAGGTTACAGAAAGAAAGCCAGTTTTCACACAATCACCCTTAATTTATCCAGTAGCCGTACAGCAGCTACCTGATGAAGAGAATGAACAAAATACTTGGGTTCCAGTTGAAATGTTAGACTTACGAAGATTTAAGGAGGCAATAGCATCTTATGGCATGCACTCCCCATATGTAAAGCAAATGTTAAACACCTGGTCAACTTGTAATAGGATTATATCAAAGGACTGGCGGGAATTGGCACAGGCTGTTCTTGAACCCGGACAAAATCTCCAGTGGAAAATGTGGTTCAGTAATGAGGATAAAAATATAGAAAGACAATGGAGGGATAGCGGAATACAAGTCTGCCAGGATCAGCTTATTGGCGAAGGCCAATATGCTTCAGTACAAACACAATGTTCATATGATGTCCAAACCCTACTTCTATGTAAAACGGCAGCTTTGAATGCATGGGACAGAGTTGAAGAACCAGGAAAAAAAACTGAGTCATTTACAAAGGTTATACAGGGCCCCAAAGAATCTTTCACAGATTTCTTACAAAGATTGACTTCAGCAGTACAAAAAATGGTCCCGAATTCAGAGGCTAATCAGATAATAATTGAATCTTTAGCCTTTGAGAATGCAAATGCAGCGTGCAAAAGAATAATTAGGCCGTTAAAGGCAAGATCTGCACCTTTGGAAGATTGGATTAGAGATACAGTTAATGTAGAGGCTTATGACCATGATGATATGTGGGTAGGAAAAGCAATTTCAAAAGGTTTGAGCAATGTTAGATGTTTTGGATGTGGAAAGCAAGGACATTTGAAAAGGGATTGTAAACAGGTCATTCCTAGAAATAATGTTTATTCAAGGAACACTGGCAACAGAATGCCCCTTCCTTCTGGAGTATGCAGAAGGTGTGGTAAGGGAAAACACTGGACCAACGAATGTAGATCAACAAGGGACAGATAGGGTAACCCTCTGCCTCGAGCTTCGGGAAACTCCCAGAGGGGCCTCAGGCAGGCCCCCACAGTAAATCCAGTTCAAACCTTTCCTGCAGTTGTAGAGGAAACCCCTACTCAAAGCAACTAAATAACCAAATATCTATTGGAATAAATCATGTTAGTCGAGATGATGAAACAGAGAAAATAGGAAATACAGGAAAAAACATAAAGAAAATTTTTTGGCAAACTTCTATTAATGAACAAAGACCAAAACTAACAATAAAAATAAATGGTGTTTTGTTGTCTGGTCTGGTAGACACAGGTGCTGACATTACCATAATTGCACCAGAATTTTGGCATCCAACTTGGCCTCTTCAGGAGGTAAACATTCAACTCTTAGGAATTGGGACATTATCTAGAGTGAAACAAAGTGTAAGATGGCTTGAATGTATAGGTCCAGAAGGACAGAAAGGAAAATTAAAACCATATATGGCTAACATAGCTATGAACCTGTGGGGTTGAGACTTGTTACAACAATGGAATACTCAGATTAATATCCCTCCAATCTCAGAAACAAATCATAAATTAGTACATGTTTCTGAGAGAAATATTAAAAGATATTATTCTAATGAGTGCTCACCAGCCATCCATGTCATACAAGAACAGGACACAACAACTGATAATCTTCCAAAAACATTAACAGCTCTACCTTTAAAATGGTCAACAGACAAGCCTGTATGGGTTCAGCAATGGCCTTTAACAACAGAGAAACTCCAGGCTTTACAAGAGCTGGTGGAAGAACAGTTAAATGCTCATCATATTGAAGAATCAACCAGCCCTTGGAATTCTCCTGTATTTGTTATAAAAAAAAAAATCTGGTAAATGGAGAATGGTAACAGACCTTAGAGCAATTAACAAAGTAATTCAGCCAATGGGCTCTTTACAATCTGGAATTCCTTTACCTACTCTGTTACCAAAAGGCTGGCCTCTCATAGTTATTGATTTAAAAGACTGTTTCTTTTCAATACCCTTACAAGAAAAAGACAGAGAAAGATTTGCTTTCACAGTGCCTACTTATAATAATTCTCAACCGGTTAAAAGATTTCAATGGAGGGTTCTCCCACAGGGAATGTTGAATAGCCCAACTTTGTGCCAATATTTTGTAAAACAGCCATTAGAAGTGGTACGTAAAATATTTCCTAAATCTATAATTTATCATTATATGGATGACATTTTATTAGCTGATTCAAATGCAGATACTTTAGAAAGAATGTTTGAAAAAGTAAAGAAAATTTTGCCTTGCTGGGGATTACAAATTGCTTTAGAAAAGGTACAAAGAGGAGATTCTATTAATTATTTAGGATATAAAATAGAACTTCAAAAAATTAGACCTCAAAAAGTGCAAATTAGGAGAGATCGACTACAGACTCTTAATGACTTTCAAAGATTATTTGGAGACATTTCTCATCTAAGAACTATTGTTGGGGTAAAAAATGATGAACTGAATAATTTGTTTAAAACCTTAGAAGGTGATAAGGACTTAAATAGTCCAAGAGAATTATCACCTGAAGCTGAGAAAGAATTGGCCTTGGTAGAAAAGAAAGTACATGAAGGGCATGTAGATCGTATTAATCCAAAGCTGGATTGCATTTTGGTTATTTTACCTTCTAGGCATTCCCCAACAGGAATATTAATGCAAAGGGAAGATATTATATTGGAATGGATATTTTTACCAAATAAACCAAATAAAAAATTAAAAACTTATGTGGAAAAATCCTTGATTTGGAAAGGAAAATTGAGACTTCGTCAATTAGCAGGAATAGACCCAGCAGAAATTGTCGTACCTTTAACTAAGGAGGACATTGAAAAATTATGGATAGAAAATGAAGCTTGGCAAAAAGCTTGTAGTAATTTTTTGGGAGAAATTAACAGCAAATATCCCAAAAGCAATAGAATTGATCTTATAAAGAGAGCTGATTGGATCTTGCCTCGAATTGTGAGGAAAAAACCCATATCTGGAGTTCGTACATTTTATACAGATGCCAACAAACAAGGAAAGGCAGGTTACAAATCAGAAAATTTAAGTAAAGTGGTTCAAAGTCCTTATAATTCAGTTCAAAAATCAGAATTGTATGCTATTCTGTTGGTATTAATGGATTTTTCAGAACCTCTCAATATAGTAACTGACTCTCAGTATGCTGAAAGTAGTATTACATATTGAGACTGCAGAATTTATCCACGATGCTTCAGAATTAACTTCATTATTTATTCAATTACAAGATACAATCAGAAAAAGGAGTCATCCTTTATATATAACTCACATCCGATCCCATACTGGTCTGCCAGGCCCTCTAGCACAAGGCAATGATGAGATTGATAAATTATTGATAGGAAATGTGCTGGAGGCCTCAGAATTTCATGAAAAACATCATGTAAATAGTAAAGGTTTAAAAAAGGATTTTTCCATAACCTGGCAACAAGCCAAAGAAATAGTAAAGAAATGTCCTACTTGTTCCTTCTACAATCAAACACCATTACCAGCAGGATGTAACCCAAAGGGTACTCAGAGGAATGAAATCTGGCAGATGGACGTGTTTCACTTTGCAGAATTTGGAAAACTGAAATATGTACACCACACTATCGATACTTATTCAGGATTTCAATGGGCAACTGCTTTGAGTTCTGAAAAAGCTGATTCTGTAATCACTCATTTGCTAGAAGTTATTGCCATTATGGGTATACCTGCACAAATCAAAACTGATAATGCTCCATCCTATGTCTCTGTTAAAATGAAACAGTTTTTTGCTTATTATAATATAAACCATGTTACAGGTATACCACATAATCCTACAGGTCAAGCAGTTATAGAAAGATCAAACAGAACTCTAAAGGATATGCTAAATAAACAAAAAGGAGTAACAAAAACCCCCAGAAATAGACTACATAATGTTCTATTAACTTTGAATTTTCTCAATGCCAATGAGAAAGGAACAACAGCTGCAGAGAGACATTGGATAATAGAAAAAACTACAGAATTAAATCAACCTATATACTTTAAGGATGTGCTGACCTCAGAATGGAAACCAGGGTATGTGTTACGTTGGGGACGAGGTTTTGCTTTTATTTCTACAGGAGAAGATAAGCTATGGGTACCATCAAAATTGATAAAGGTTCGATTTGAACAAGAGAGACCTCTTAATTAGAGGAGGTGATAGTTCATCAACTATCGTAAACATCCAATTTAAACTAACTTACACCAGTAACACATGCCTTTTCATTTAATCAGATAACTTGTCAAAAAGGAACATCCCAAAAAAAAAAAAAAAACCTTGGGGAAAGGTTTTTGTTTTTGTCTTTTAGGAGAATGAAGGTTAACGAATTTGAAGAACACTGGACAAATGAGACAACTGAAGAAAAGGGACAAATCATCTATCCTAAGAAACAGAGTGAAATGGCGTATGGGTATGTTATCTAAAAAAATTTTATGTCTTCCTAAATGTTTGTTTCTGCTTTTCTTTAAAGATTTAACACTATTTAACTTCTAATAGTCCCAGTTCAATTAAAATTTAAAGCTGACTTTGGAGTTGGAGAATGGCTCTCTCCTTCTTTAAACTCAAGCATGTTGTTAAAAGGAAAATGCAAACTCCCTGTATCATGCCAGAGGAAAAGAGCCATCTTCTGCTATGGGACAGGAGAAAAGCCAAATTAATTAAGGGACTATTCTATTACGAATCTCAACTCTTTGATTCTATTCTGATTCTTTAAACTTTTCTTAAAGTATGAATTTTATATCAAAATTTACAAGATCAATATATATATAGATATATATACATTTTAAACTTTGTTAAGATATAAATGGTCATATAGAGTACTAACTAATTCTAAAAAGTCGCATATATAGTCTTTGTGTTCGAGTCTCTTATCAGTTTTTTGCAGGAAATCACGGTTAGGCCTAACATCAACTGAAGTCTCCAGGAAGAAGATGGGGCCCCACAACAACAACAATTCCACGTGGACAATAATAACATCACTAAG